ATGCCTGATCAAAAACAAATCTACCAACTATCATCCTCCGATCTAAAGTGCCATCAGTGGGGATCGACCAGATTGTTACAGCCATAATAGCGAACTATAGACCAGATTTAACTAGCCCGCAAACCTCCTTAAGATCAGACATGCCTTAACTGCGTACTATACATGATCAAGATTGAAGTAGAACAGCCAATGAAACATAACCCATCGTTTGGAGTGAGAAACATCGTATTGTAACAAAATAAACGACGGACTAAAAGGATATGAGGCCAATCTCGATCGAACAGATTGATGTTGCTAAAAAACTAATGACAATAAGATCATCAGCAAGATTGATAACTTAATGAATCTACCCGAACGACACCACCCTTAGGTAGAGCCAATAACTTGACCTTAATCTAATTCGAGCAGTGGAGGTCGAACTTAACCGATGTAGCCATACAAACAAAAGTATAAGCCATGACGGTACTTACAGACAAGCCGGAGATTGGCCGGACCGATGCAGCCCTGCTTGTTGAAGAACTCACCGAGATATGTACTACTCCTACTCCTAAGGGTTGGCGTAAAGCCAAAAAAGTAATTTATATTGATTGATTGGATGTCCTTTTTATAATAGCTGGGGTCCAATATTTATTCCCGGAGCCTAAGCATGAATCCTACTCAAGTATGACTCATTACAATCTTTGCTATAAAAGAAAATATTCCTAACATAAGATAACTTGGACCCTAATCTTTCCCTTTTTGTAGTGTCCGGCATATATTTCTCGACGCCAACCGTAGCTCATTGTCGTTATCTGCTGACGTCATTCGAAGAGAGCCGATTCTAGTGCTGCATCTAAATCAGCTGATATCGATCTTTATGCAATCGATTCCTTGATTGACACAATCTTGGAAGCTTTGAGTTCCCGCGTTCTTCTTCCCAAATTTTGGTGTAAACAACGGGGGATAAGGTTCCTTAGTGGTTCCTTTAGGGCTGACGGACACTCTACTGGTTTGACGGACACTCCATCACTTGGGCGATAGAACCTATGCTCTTGGGAAATCCTAGGCTTCAAGCTTAGATTTGTGGAGTTGTGCATCTTGCATGTGCCAAACATTCCTATGGTAGTTTAGGTGGCTTACTAGGCTCACTATGGCTAGGTTGTAAGCTAGTTTCACTAAGTGTGGCTTAAGGCTTAGGGATTGAACCAAAACTCATGAGATAAGAGATAAACCTTGAGATTGAGATAGATATCCTTGGCTCTAAGATTAAGAGCTTCCCTAGCCAAGAGATTGAAGATCCAACTCTTCTTCCATCTAGGTCTTCATCGTTTCCCACCTCCATCAAAAACCACACATTAACTACTTTGGGAGAAATCCACAAAATGAGAGCTACTCTCTTGAGCTCACCAAGACTATGTTGAAGAGGTTGATGGAATCCATCTGAAGGTGCTGATGCTTTTCTTCTTCCTCCTCTTCTCCTCCTCCAATCCTCTCTTTATTCCTTTCTCTCTCTAGTTCTAGGGTTCTTCCTTGTTCTTGAGAGGTAGAGAGAGGGTGTTTGCAAATGAGTGGATAAGTGAGAGGGTGGGTGGGAGAGTGTTCCTTTAGCTGGTGAAGTACTCCAACTCGTGCTGCCTTGTGGGTCCAAGTACACAAATAAGAAACAACTTAACTTCCACTTAGCTCTGTTCTGTCCTAACTTTTATCGGATGGTCCAGTGTGCTGGCGGGCGGTCCGGTATTCCCTGTGTTTGCTTAATTGACTAAGACATTAACTGAATGTTATCGATGACCATGGCATCACGCTGAGGTATGTCCTTGGGAATGATTGTGGTGTTGATGATGTCAATAGAAGGATTGCGAATCCATGTAGATGTTCTCATCCAATCCGGATTTGAGTCTAACCATGGTTATCCGGGGTTTCTCACAAGGTGCTTCGGTAGGTTCTTGATGTCGAGTGTTGTGTTGCACGTTGCAAGTCTTCACGGATGGTTGGTGGCTGTCTTCGCTTGATAAACCAAAACAGTTGTCTAGGTTGCAACGAACTCGGGTCATTACACGGGGGCTCCCAGACACTGCACTTCGAGCGCGACCTTGCCGGTCGCTCCTGCGATAGGGTCACCCATGGGGCATGACACAAGAAGACAAGTTTCCTCGACCTCTAGTGGCTTGGCGACCTTGGGGCCACGCGTCAGCCCCTAGAGCCGACCTCCTTCACCACCAAGAAGACTCCAGAAGGTCCACCTGTGGGAGGCCGATCTAAGCCGACACAGCCTAACACGTAGAGTGTCAGAACAGAGCAGCTGGACGACGCCCAAGGCTTCTTTGGCTCCACGACACCGCCACGGTCCACAGAGCACTGCTGCAAGACCCTCTGGACTCCAGCGCATGTAGAACGTAGACACATCCCCCAAACCACCATGTACTCGACCTATCTCGGTATATAAGGGGTAAGGTCGGATCTTAGAGGGGGGAGGAGGATAATCCAAGACAAATCATTCCATTCCTTCCTGATCTGCTCCTGCTCGGCACCGAGAGCACAGTAACCCAGGGAGGGGCACCGAGAGCTCCTCCATCACACCCGTCGTCTTCCACCTCTTCGACGAGGCCGAAAGGCTCCACCGGCGGTGAGGCAACCTTAGGATTAGCTCTGAGCTAACCCCCTACCAAATCTCTCTCTACACTCTATTGTAACCCCCCCTGATTTTGGGTGCTCTTGAGTATAAGGATCATCAGCTGCTGGATGTAGAGCATCAATCGGCCCGAACCAGGATAAATAGTTGTGTCCCCTCTATGATTCTTGTGTTCTTGAGTCCACCCAAGCCACCGGAGACACGTACTCTGACACCGACTCGAACAACAATGCTTATCGCGGTTTTGACCCCGCGACTGAATTAGGATAACTCCTTGTTATATTTCGTCCTGGTTTCTATATTTTGCCAGCTCGAATTTGTATTGGTGATCATCTCGACCATTTTTTGTTTTATCATTTTCGATAAATCTGAAAATTGGGACGAAAACGATATTGTTGTTTTTTCGACCATTTTCTCTTATTCCATTTTTTGTCGAGATATTCTGTTTTTATCTACATTGGATATCTCATTTTAAGAAATGCAATAATGCAGCATAGTCATCTATGCCACGCCATAGTAGCCTTGTCCATGGTAGAGTGGTGGTTGACTTCTTGCTATGTTATGGACTTATGGTCTAGCACTCTTATATACTCTTGTTATCTCATGAATCTTACTCTATGAATTATAATTATTCATGTATTGGTAGTGATGTACTTCATGCCAGGTTGGTACGTTTTGTATGTGAGAAGTCATGTTTCTTGGTTCTATATATGTGGAGACGTTCCTGCTTTGTTTTTCCATGTCCCAATTGCTATCGACGTATTTCCGTTTGAATTGACTCGTTTTCGATTTCCGGTGAATCTTGTTTTTGTTTCCGTTTCCAGCCTTCTCGATTTTGATTTTGCCTCCGTATTAAAATGTAAAAGTGAAAACGGGAGAGGGTTTATCTTGACCGATCTGGTTCGTTTTCATCCCTAATCAAGGATATATATATGCTATTTTGCATTCATCATGAGGGATCATCCAAGAATGAGCATGAGAAACATTATCAATTTGTGATTAAGAAACTTAATGACTTCAAAATATTTCTTGAGAATTTTAATGATATGTACTCTTGCTTGAATATCTTTTTAGAAGAACTCAATCCCATTGCTTGGTCTTACTCAAATGGTAACGTGAAGAAATATTCTCGGAGTTCATTGAATGGAGAAGTATGTGAACATCGTGACCCTGTATTCATCGATTTAATATCTCCGCCGTCACTTTCTCTCAATTCTTGAACAAGGTCAATGCCTTTGGGATTTATATTCATATCACTCCCCAAGAGAGCTCCTCAACCTACAAGAAGAAAGATATTGGTTTTAACTTTCAAGGCTTGTTAAAGATGAGAAGATGAAAATCAAGACAGAACCTAAAATCAAGAAAGAACCTAGTGATGATGAAGATGAAAATCATGAGATGGCTCTTCTTGTGAGAAAGACCACCAAAATTCTCAAAAAGTTAAACAAGAAGGGTTACAACTTTAACTCCGAGAAGAGTTTCTTGACAAGATGAAATCAATTGAGGAAATGGATTGCTACTAATGACTAATTATATTGATTTTATAATATTACTAATATGTACCATTAAAAATATTTTAAATTAATAAGTAATACTATTAGTTTTAATATTAAAAAGGAGTTAAAGAAAAAATTAATTAATTTTTATATAACTAATATTAATTTAACATTACTGCTGATTTTAATTTTAATTAATATGACTAATGATATATAATGTAGTTTTTAAGTAGTTGCCATTCATCAACTTTAAAAGGTTGAAAGTATTTAAAGTCATGTCTACAAGTAATTAGTAGGAAGTGTTTTATCTTAAATACAAATGATGAACATATAATTAATCGGATCGTGAATTTATAATTTATATAGTTAATAATATGACTAACCGTATTTTTATTATTCATTTATATGATATTTCGATGTCTATAAAATTATTGGATGGACTATGGATACATATAGACATTCGTATATAAAAAAATAATGTAAATAATAACATTCGTATCAGATATCAGATTTCATATCTATCCAAAGGCGTGTTCGGCTGGCTGGCTGGCTGATTGCCGGCTGGCCAGCCACCTCACAAAATCACTATTCACGTCCTGTCAGAACAATATTTTCCTCTCACAACAATTAGCTGAAACAGTATTTTCAGTCCTGCCGAGCAGGCCCCAAATCCGTTTTCATCGTTGGTAGCAAATCCCTTCTCGGAAGCGAGATTGTTTTTGGCAAGATGAAAAGAAAAGAAAGAAAACCCATCCGCTCGCCAAGTTCTCCCCCCTTACTCCGTCAAAAGGCCCTCGACAAGACCCTAGGCGGCGGCGGCATAGCAACGCAACGCAGTGATCAAGACCAACCCGATCTAGCTAGCTACGTGGAGATCGAGGAGGCGAGCGTTAATGTTGGCCACGTCGTCCGCCTCCGGCCGCGGCAAGCCGTCGCGGTCGTCGTCGGCCATCGTTGCCGACAGGCCGAGCGGGTACCACGACCTCAAGATCGACTCCCGCTTGCTCGACGCGATGAGCGTTCCCCATGGAGAGTTCCTCTTGTCCTCCGCTTTCACCGTGGGCGGCCATACCTGGCGCATCATATGCTACCCTAACGGCGACCGCTACGACTCGGATGCTGCTGTTGGGTACGTCTCCATCTACCTGAAACTTGATGAGAACGTCGCGAAGCCGGTGACTGCCCAGGTACAGTTCAGCGTCATGGCGGAGAAGGGCGCCCTCTTCCTTGTCAGGTGGAGGAAGGAGGTTCTCAGCACGAAAAAGATATTTGTCACAAGCTTCGCCAGACAGGATAGTAGTCATGGCTACTCCAAGTTCGCCAAAAACAAAGATGTGCTCAAGACGGTGCGTCAGGGCGATCCTCTCACAATCAGGTGCCACATCATCGTCTTCAACGGCTCCCGGGACGTGCAATCTCCCAAGCACAAGCAGGCTGCTGCTGCGTCTGCCCACGTGTCCCCGTCCAACCTGCATACGCACCTCGGCGACCTCCTCTCCAGCAAAAGGGGCGCCGACGTGGTGTTCGTGGTCGGCGGCGAGGCGTACCCCGCGCATCGGTGCGTGCTCGTAGCCCGATCACCGGTCTTCGCCGTGGAGCTCTTCAGCTCAATGCGGGAGAGCGACGCCGCAGGCGGTGTGGTCCACATAGACGACATGGAGCCGCAGGTGTTCCAGGCTCTGCTCCACTTCGCGTACACCGACACGCTGCCGGAGATGAGGAAGCCGGAGGAAGGAGTATTGTGCCAGCACCTGCTTGTGGCGGCGGACAGGTACGACATGGAGAGGCTCAAGCTCATATGTGAGGATAAGCTGTGCAGGTACATCGACCTGGGCACGGCCAAGCTTTTCATTATCGGAAATAAAAAAATATCGAACGTCATGGATAAATAGTATAAGCAAGATATATCGGAAATATTGGATCAAATTCAAAAAAAATTCAAATTGTTTTGAAAAAAAATCGTAGAATTTGACTTGAAACTATTCCTAAGCTATTAAACATCACTTGTTCACAGATAGAAACAAGAATAAAACATTATAGTGTGGGACCGTCGCACGGCTGAATTTAGGTTGTCTGTGTGGGAGCAGGAAAGAAGGAAAAAATTTGACCGATGTCAAATTTTATCGGACCCAGTAGATAGAAGGGAAATTTCAAAAATTTCCTTGAATTTCGGCCAATAAAAAAAACCTTGGGCACGGCGGTGATCATCCTGACGCTGGCCGAGCAGCACCGCTGCCATAGCCTGAAGAAGGCGTGCATCGATTTCGTCGGTGCTCCAGCAAATCTCAAGGCAGTGGTTGCAAGCGATGGCTTCGAGTGTAACACCCTAGGTGTTTGGCTCCCACAAAATTGCATTTCATTCATAAACATGTGCATCATCTACCTCATCATGCCATTGTACTGAAACATGTATATGCAACATTCTCAATTATGTTCGTTTCATACTTGATTGCTTGTGAATGGTAGTAGTGCAACATGTGACTGCAACATGAGTTTCTCATACCTTGAAACATGGCAACATGGTAGTAATATGACAAGTTTAAAATTACAACCAAGTCATGAAACATGGAATTGCAACATTAGAGTAAAATTGAGTGTTTTGTTGCTTCATCACATGTGATACTTAGAAGTTGGTGTAGCATTTGTGTAGAGTGGTTAATTATGGTCTAATACACCTTAACTACACTTAGGGTAATTGATGGGACATTGTTCATGTGGACCAAAATGACTAAATTGCCCTCTAGGTGGGGTTTTGACTTAGAATGACCCATAGTGTGACTCTGTTTGACTGATTAAAAAGTCCAACCTCGAGATCTTGCATGGCTGTGCACCCTTTACCAAAGTTGTAGCCAATTTATCAAGGAACAAAAGTCTCAATATGACCATCTCATGAAAATGGCTAGAATATGCTCAAACAAGGCCCACAAGTCAGGTTTCCCTGCTGATTTCAGACTTAGAAAAAAATTTCAGTCAAGTCCTGACTTACAGTTTCATGAGCCCCTCTTTGAGACCTTGTATCTCCCAATCCAGACCGAATTAGTCCAAGCCCTAATTGACAATGTTGTAGTACTATTGTAGATCTACAAATTTGCTGTTACCACCTACTACTAACTGGGGCTAGATTACGAGCTATGAAGCGATGAAAGGGCGCTGTCAGTCGTGCCATCGGACCCCGATTCAGTTCGTTTCAGAAAACGTTCAGTGAACATCATGGCCGACCGGTTCAGGGGCGGGCCACCACGTGGCGTGCATGCTCTGCTAGCGCCTCCACGTCACGCGTCATGCTCCCTGATGAAAGCCAGCGCCTTGCTCACTCTCTCTTCATCTCGCCATTTCCCTCTCTATCGTCCTCCTCCATGCGAGCGCGGTGACCGGGAAGACCGTGACCGCCGCCGAGCCAAATCACCCAAACCGAGCGTCATTGTCCGATTCCCCTGAACCATAGCACCACCATGAGCTCCTCCACGTCCTCAACCACACCGAAGCCTCGTCCTCGCCTCAGGTAGAACTCACCGTGAAGGCGGCTCCACCGGGTTGCCATGTCCGCTGCCGGCCGAGCTCGCACGTGGCTGTGCCGCTCGAGCCTCTTATTGCCCCCTCTTTCTCTTGCTTTAGGTCCAGTTAGTGATGCTGATGCTCATAGGGCAGGCCATTAGGGCCGTGATGCCGTCGCCTCGCCGGAGCTGGCCAACCCGTGGCCGTGCGCCGCCATGGCCATCGCCACTCCCTCTAGCCGCTGGAATCGCTACAATAGATGGTATTCCTAGGTGCACATGGGTGAGGCGAACACGTTGGGACTAATGGCCTCGCCGGATCTGCCACCGACGACGAGCTGCGCCGTCGTCCTTCCCTCCTCCCCTGTCTGTCTCGCTGTCTTACGGGACCCGCTTGTCAGCTGACGCGCGCAGGCGGGAGCCGACGTGGGCCGCGCCGCTTCTGGGCCTCGCTGGCGTATGCGGGTGCGTGCTTCGCGGGCCGCCGTGTTCTTCTGGGCCGGCCCAGCAGTAGCTGATTAGGTTTTCTATTTTTGTTTTGTTTTATTCTTTTCACAGATTTGAGTACTTATTCAAAAATGTGTATCTCTTAGTTGGTAGATCCAAATGATGTGGTTCCAATTTTGTTGAGTTCCTGCTAATGTCTAGTTTATATTAAAAATATAATTTATGCCATGTTCTGTTATGAAAAATGGAGTTGATAATTATCTCTTTTAATCATGTGGGAAATAGGGGTAATTATATCTTTTTCTTTGTAGCTCCAAATGGCATGATTTTTTTATGGTGTACTGCTCATATGATGAATAGCTTGTAGTTAAATGTTCATACATTTTAGACACTGTAGTAAAGAGTTAGGTAATTCTCTTGTTTGCATGGATGGATCTTGTGTGAATTTTCATAATTTTTCTATAGATCCAGTAAAGGTAAAATTTGGTGAGTGCTATTCTTATACTAGAATGATGCTAGAAAAAATGTGAAATCTGTTGCTCGAAACTTTTCAATAGGGTTTCCTAATTATGCTAGAAATAGCCCTACCATCTGTTATTTTTGATACAGCAAGTTCTGCTTGACCAATTGCTTTGAAATTTTTATGGTTGTCTATGTGAAGCATGAGGTAGCTACTGTAATTTTTGTAGATTTTTCTGTATAGTTTTACTATATGTTGCTTTAATCACCTAATTAACTAAATAAATTAGAAAAGGACATTAAATAATTTATTTAGAAGTTGGCACTATACTTTCTGATGTTCCTCTGGTATGCACAACAAGTTGGTAAACTTGGTTTGGTCCAATTATGCTTTTGCATCATCACTAAATATTTAATTTAGTAAATCTGCCATTTTGGGACAGATTCTAGGTTTACTTGAATTCGATTTGGTTAACATAAGAATCATGCTTTCATGTTTACAAATGATTTATAGAGAATTTCATAAGCTTTCCAGAATGTCCTCTTGCAAGCCATTTGAATTTATAGAACTCTTGTTGTGACTGAATTAAGAAACTGCTCGTTTGCATGTGAAACCTTAACTTTTGAATTAAGTATACCTTTACTATTCCTAAGCTTGTGGTAATGTTCCAAGGTGTTAGGCCTTTAACTGAAGATGAGCATCTTTATCTTAGGTTATGCAAGTTAGGTAAGTTGATCTCGTTCTTCAAGTTAAGTTAGATACATGTTTTAAAGTGATTTGAATAGAGCTATTCTTAATCGGTAAACGAGTGTTCAGTGATGTTTTCGTTAAACACTTACTGTGATCCATTCATCATGAGCATCATGTCATTCCTTATGCATCCATATTATTTATCTTGTGCATCGGCATGCAATAGGTGTACCGGAAGGAGTGACACTGCTGGAATTCGAGGAACCGAGCGGGGAGCAGCAGCAGCCAACACCGGAGGTTCAGGAGGTGCAACCCTCAGGAGAAGTGTCAGACGAGGTCGCCGTTGAGTGTCCAGATCACTGTCCGTGCAACTTTGTGAAAGGCAAGCCCCGGAGCATATTAAGCCTCCTAATTTGCAAAATGCAGTTAAAGTATTATTGTTACATATATATATTGTTGCGTTAAGTCTAGGTGTTGGATGCAAACACTTGCTGCATTGGTTATCCAATCCTTAATCAGATATTGATACCCTGAATCTTATGTAGTTTAGGCTCGTGTAGTGCTTAGCCCTGCTTAAATGCGGTAGAAGTCAGGTGATTTCCTATCACCTGTGAGATATAGGAATATACATATGGCACGGTTGGCTATATTTGCTATCGTGGAAAAGAAACTATCTTAATTTGAAATGAAGACCGGGCGGAGGCTTGCCGGTTTGTAGTGACTCCGCCTATGTCGCTTAAGGACTGAATCTTGAAGCCTTTTCTATTCATGTTGAACGCATGCCTCTCTCTTAGTTGGCCGTGTCCGAAGACCGACCACGAAGCCGAGTAGCTCACCTCAGGCCGGAAGTCGATAAGTATAAAGTACGCCTCGGAAGGGAGCCATAGGCGTGAGTCCAAGGGCAGGTGATTTAAAAGTCCTGATCGTCCTGACAGAAGGGTAATCCCTGAGAGTGCTGGCGCTGATCGAACCCACGAATTTGGTTCCTGAGTTGTCCCAAAGGTGACCCACGGCTACCCTAGTAAAGTATGCCAGGGTGAGAGTTAGGAATACCCCCTCAGCTGAGTTGTAATTCAATTCAAGTCGCCGTCTCTCCCGGTTAGTGAGAACTTCACGGGCTTATCTCCAAAGTAGATACACTAAATAACATAATGGTTCAGAAATAATGATATGATGATGACAGCCTTGTTATACCTGCTATGGTTAATATTGATTTCTCCTAATAAGTGAGTGCTCTAGTACAGGTGCTAATCTAGTGGACAGGTAAATGATGATAAGCTTGATGCTAAGTTTAAATTGGTCACTATATTCATAAGCTCTTTTATGCAAATGTGTCAAGCTAGCCCACCTCATAAGCCTTGCATGACCCTTGGTGTCTTTTATTTCTGGTTTTGATGGGTAAGTCTAGCTGAGTACCTTCTCGTACTCAGGGTTTATCTCCCACCTGTTGCAGATGACCAGTTCTACTTCGGTTGCTGCAAGTATTGCCTTCTCTCGGCTGGGGATGAAGACTAGACCGTTGGGCGCGGTCTCTCCTAGTTCTCATACCTGATAATGCTTTTGTAGGACATGACTAAGATCTGGCAATGTATTTGAAACTATGAAGTTATGGACTAAACTATGTTGCTTCCGCAAATTTGAACTTGGTTTGTAATATTTTATTTGCACTCTGATGGATGTAATCCGAATGCCACTTGTGAAATGTTGTAATGAATGATGTGTTGTGTTGAATCACTACGGTCTTGGTTTGTATGTCGAGAGTTGTTTGAAATCCTTCGTGATTTCCGGACTACCGGGATTATGGGAGCTTAAGTACAGGAATTTGATCACTTCGGTGATTGTTTTTGTACTTACGTTCTTATAATTTGGTCGGTTCTGTTACAGCTGGCATCAGAGCAAGATTCGACACTAAACATGTCATTTGTGT